CCCCCAAAACCCCAAAACCCCAAAACCCCAAAGTTTTAAAAAGCGGTTGAACTATTGACAATTTTTAGAGCGATTTCTAATTTCTTCCATTAATCCTCTTCGGAGGAGCTCAAAGCTGACTTTCTATGAGTTTAGTATAGGGTCTTACTCTAAAGGAGATTTGAAGGCTTGAGAATTCTCCTGAGACTTCTTTGGAGACATTCTCGATTCACTTATCTTTCTAGAGGAATTTTCATTGTCATCTCTCTGCAATTTATTTTCCATATCTATCTGTCTGTTTTGATCATAATTTGTTCTTTCCTTATAACTTTCAAGTGATCTTTCTCTAGATTCTTTCTCATCTGTTGGTTGATTTTTGCACCAGAAGAGCCTAGAAATTCCTAATCCTGAAATGAACACGACAATAATTCAAATACAGCAGCTGATAAAGATAGCCAGGGCCTTGCCCTGGTTATCATCTTCAGATGGCGAATCATCTAAAAACATGAACATTCAACAGAGGTAGACCAAAAACATAGAGTTGCAAATAATTGAAAGAACTCTGTTAATCAAAGTTTGTCCAAGATGGAATGTCTCTCTAGAATGTTCAGTCTTTTTCATAATTGCTAAAATGATTTCAATAGTCAAGAGCACTCATTGGGCGAGTACCAGCATGCTTAGTTGCCATTCTTTAGAGGTGTATGCAAGGGATATAAGCAGGATAGGCATTATAGCTCTCTTCATGAGGAAGTACGTGTAAAAATATCCTCTATACGTCTCAGCAGTGTTCTTTGCATAGAAAGCAAATACGAATGAAAAAGTCAAGTAAATCAGGAATCACAAAATATTTATGGCAACCATTAATGAAAGCTTTTCCAAACCTGAATCTCTTGGAGTTGACATAAATTCTATAAATACAGCTGTCCAGAGGAAGAGAGAAATTTCAAGGCAATATCTGATGTAAAAATCTTTACTAATGTGATTTTTAAGAGAGTTAGTCCATTTGAAGAACTTATGATCCTTCCTCTCAGGGTTACTCCAGCACATAATCACTTTCAATCAGATATGGAGCAAGATAACTGTTCATATAAGCCTTGCATAGAATGCGAGGTTCACGAGGACACTTCCGTAATCCCATGCAATTTTTGCAAATGCAGCTCTATCAGGTCTGAAGTTGATATCTTTTCTTACTTCATCTCTGATTGTAGTAAACTCATCAATGAAATTCATATCTAGCTTGCAATGGTCTAGCTTGTCCAAGAAATATACCAGATTAGCTGGCTGGTTTACTTCTAGCATGATCATGAGATATACTAGTTGGATAAAATGAAGAAGAATCCAAAATGGCGTAGCATCATACCCTTTTAGCAGATATCCAATGTAATAAATAAGTCCAGCTGCTCAGGTTAAAGAAATGATGGTGTATGCTAATCCTTCTAGCTCTGGGTAATCAGTTGATACTTCTGCAAGAGTCTCTAAGTCTCTCTGAGAGGAGCCGGTAAAGGAATCTAACTTTTCTAATTTCGAATTTGGTCAATTCAAATTCATCTTTGTAAAAATTTGAGAAATTTCATACTCAGATAGAAAAGTTTGGCTGTTTTGAGGATTCAAACAGAAATCAGAAATTTCAAGGGGGATTTTAAATGATCTTAATGAATCGAAGAGAGAGCTTATAGATTCCTTCTTTGACTCATTAACTTTCTGCAACTCTGATAAATTAAGATAATGATAATTGACTGTTTGGATAGCTGACTTTAACTGGGTTATAAATCCAATTCAATCACTTTTGATAAAAATTAGTCAATCTTTGCTGTTACTGATAACATCAATATCCAATTCTGATGAGCTTGTTGAGTACTGAGGATTATCTCGGAATCACTTGACCTGCGTCACTAATAGAAGTGATAGAACTGCTGTTAAAACGATCTTGAACATTTTTATGAAATATTATTTTTTATCATTTGGGGTTTTGGGGTTTTGGGGTTTTGGGGTTTTGGGG